CACATAAATTAAAGCTATAAATTCTGTAAATGAAATAAAAAACTTAAACTTTTTAGACATTATCAAATTATCTAAATGTACATGCACACCTAGTTTCATTGTCAATTATTCTCTCATTTACTTCTTCATATACTTCATTTACTTTTTATTCATTCAATATTTTTCAAAAATTATCTTCTGGCCTTTGATACAGCTGACCATATCATACAAATACACCCAAACAAATTCAGATTCTGGTAAAATTATACAACATAATACTAATTTAAAATGATGATGTAGGAGAATATTATGTAACTATTTACCCTCCATAATGAAGATTTATATCAAACAATTATATAGCACTAAACATGTTCAATTATCATATACACAATTACAACATCTATTGAGCACCTTGTAAACTGTGATAAAGCAATGTACATGTATTAATTAACAAACAATTAACCTATAACCTGCAGAAGTTCTTAATTGGTATTGCCAATCTTCCATTATAGGAAATTTTCTAAATCAATTTGGGGATATATTTTTGGAACTATCAGATGAAAAATTTAAGCTGGTCAGTCAACAGTATAGAGCCTGGTCAAACTGCACATAATTACAGGCTGGCCTGGTCTATACGGGTTTCAAAGGTTACACTTTAAATCCAGATTTTGGTTAAAAACTTTAAACTTAAATTTAAAAAAAATTTTGACTCATCAACTTATAAAAATATGTTATATACATGTGCCCCATGCTTACCTTTTTACAAACACTCACAATTTAGCAAATTACAAAAAAAAAAAAAACAAAAAAAAAGTACCTGTACATGTACTATAAATGAATAATCTCAGCCATTCCAATAATCTAAATGGAACTGATTTCTTTAAAAAAAATAATTTGAGTAATTTTGAACAAAAAAAAAAAAATTCTATAGAGTAATATTTTCTGATAGTAATGTATGAATTTCAAGATCATTTGTAATAGTAAAATGACATCATATAAAAGAATGTGGTTTAAATTACAAGTGAAATCCAGACATGCTATCAATGTAAAATCTCCAATATCTTTACATTTATACAGTTTTTTTGCTAATTAATTTTTGTTTTTGGAAAAAACTTTTTAAAATCATGTCTTTTTTTTTTGGGTTTTTACTTCCCCCAAAACACAGTATATGTTATATGGCAATTTTTCCAGTTTTGGTGGGGGAGGACTTCAGGTGTCCCCCTTGAATTTTGATTTTTTCGGGCCCTAAGGGAAACCTAGTAGAAACCTGATTTCCTTAAGCTAGCTGGATAGCTTTCTTACATGATGATCCAAAAACACTGGGTCGAACCTACAAGATAGGTAAGAGGTTTAAAGCCCAACCCCCTCAACCACTCAACAGGGGGTTAAACCTAAATATAGCACATGTAGATTACAATATCTTATATTTACACAGAAAAATTTTTTTATGTATATATTACTAGATTATAAAGCTAATATCCTGAAGTCAAGATTTAAGAAATAAAAAACAAGGTTTTTACCATGATACTAGCTATAATAGTCTACCTGTGTTATCAAATATTTTTTTTTTTGGCCAGTTGTGGTTAAAATTAACTGAACTGAAATACTGACAACACCATAAAGATAACAGCATTATAAATCAGGAGAGGAGTTCACCTAACCCTCCAGTCAGTGAGTGTAAACAGTTTGACAAATTTTTTCATATAAAATATTCCTATCTGGTAGACCTTAACAAAGTGACAATGATAAAAACATTACGCCGAACATATCAAAAAATACTGGCAGGCCAACAATCATGAGCAAATAGTTCAATGAAAACGTAATAAATGCAATACAAACAAAACTTTAGAGCTGTTGTTTCATTCATGTATGATAACATGGCATTTTAGAAACATAACAGTAATTTGTAAATATCCCTACATTCTTTCATCTACAGTCTTAATGCTCTACAATCAAAAATGTTAAATATATCAGACAGAAATTTTATAATAGTTAGTATTACATTTTTTACAGCAATACAATAACATAATTGAATTATGTGTAATAAAATACTGATAAAGTATGTGTTTTTAATTAAATCAATAATGTCTAAATATAATTTCAATTGTAAAACTCGTGCTTTTTTTGCTTATACATGTATTTAACAAAAAAAGAATTAACAGAAAAAAACAACAGAAAATCAAAAATAAGAGAATTAAACAGTCCATCATTTCAAGGTTTAAAGTAAAGCCACTGTATATTCTTCATTATCAAAGTTCACATACATTAATTTCACTTAAAGCCCTATATAGAGGATATTTGTTTGTTTGTGTGTAAGATGAAATTTTATTTCATCGAGTGAGCTTTAAAAACAGTATTCTCACGAGTGGCGTAGCCACGAGTGAGAATACTGTTTTTAAAGTTCACGAGATGAAATAAAATTACATCTTACACAACAAACAGACAAATTTTCTTTTTATTTTATGCTTAAAACAAGTTAAAACGAAATTTCCATAATTTAAAAACGTTAATATTAAAATCTGTTTCCCCATCATGAGAGCCCCATTTAGGAGGTAATTTCTCATTTAAAACAAGAAGTCTTGACTGAAAAATAAGTCCGCCATTCCAGGTAAAAAAAAAAAAAAAAAAACAAAAAAAAAAAAATGGTAAAATGACGGTGATTTATTCATTTTATTTAAAAATATGAATGATGCGCTTGTTTTTAATAATAAAAACAAACAAATTCTTGCAGCGAGAAAATTCCACATCCATCCATAATTTCTGTTACTTCTGCGAATTTAATTAGACCGGCTTTCTAAAATGTAACGGCAGCCATTTTTTAAAGTTGGTGTATTTCATGGGAGGAAAATAATTGTGAAGATTCAGAGGGATAATCATTTGGATTTGTTAGTCATACACCTTTTTTAAAAGAAAAAAAACTTATTTGCAGGATTGTAACAGACAAAAAAATAAGTGTTGACAGAAGTTGAAACATTCAGAAAAGGAGCTAGGAAAATGGAAACTTGGAAGCTTGCTGAAGGAACGCTGGGTTTTTTTACTTATTTTACGAGTGATGGCTGTCAATGCTTTTTCAAGTTTTTTCATAAAGCATACGGCAGTTATTGCTCGTAGGATACTTTTAATATGCCCAAATGTCATCAAGAGCAGTTTGCATGGGGAAGGAATGTATTTTTCAGACTGTAAAAACGAAACAAAAAAAATTTAGAGACGAAATTTGGTGATTGGAATTTGAAGGAATAGAAGTAAGTTTTCTCTCTGTGTTACTTTTGACATTTAAGTTATTTATCTATTTCAGTTTTGCTATTTCTTTTAACAGCCTGACATTGTCAGAATTGTCCCTAAAAATAAAATTGAGGTACCACATGGGGGAAATCTTAAAAAAGTAGTTTCGTCATTGAAAAAAGTGAAATTATATTTTGATAATTTTCACTGTGAAATTATCAAATATAATTTTCACGGATAAATCAGTAATCCACTGAAAAGCATAAAATAAAACTATATAATTATAGTGTCAATAACAAATGAAGAAATCTATTAACAAAATTGACTTAAAGAGTAACCATGGGGACAGAGAAAGAATCTAGAATCTGACAATGTTTATTAATGTTTTAAAGGTTAGACAGCCATTACAAATTATCTCCTTGAACATTGAGTATTTTTTTATTAAAAAAGAAATGACTTTTAAAGAAAGGATATAGACATTAACCATAGTAAGTTGTGTTCAAGTTTAAACACCCAAACATACCGGTATTAAAAAGTTGAAAAAAAAGCTTAATGCTCATGCACCTGGGGACTGAGCCAACATTTAACCCAAACAGCCAGGTCAATACCAAGTAAATACAATGGTTTTGTTTAGGTACAAATGTATTAAAACAAATAAGGATATGTCTTACACTGTAAAGGCATTTAGTAGGAATTTTAGCATCTTACTAGAGATGTGACAATCTATCTATCTATCTATCTATCTCTGGATACTGCCAACCCCTCTTACGAGTGTTACAGGCAGGTATACATTGTATACATTTAAGAAACAGCTTTAAGATACAAGGGAATCCGGGAACCAGTCCCTAGCTCTTATTGAATAGACCCCTTGGTTCTTTTACATGCCCAGTGTATAACACTGATACATGCGAGGATTACCTGGATTTCTTACCAGTACACCTCTATGTAGGTGGGAAACACTGAAAGTGTCTCTGAAAAATCCCAAGGGTGTAACCCAGGATCGAACCCGGGACCTCAGGAGTGATAGTCAGTGGTTTAACCAACTGAGCTATCGCGCCACCCACTGGTCAAAGTCCCCGATAATCCCCAGGCAGGGGGCGGTGGAATACTAATACTAACTGTATGATGCATAAGTGTTACCTTATAAAATGATTATCTGTAGAAGAATGTACTTTAAATAATAGAATTGAAAATCATGTACTGATAAAATATAATTACATTATAAATGTACAGTGTTTTTAAATTATGATACAGTCAAATCAATATGTAACTGAAATCTCAATTGACGATGTACCGTAAGTTTTGGAAATTCTCTTGCTAATATTGATACATGTATATAATGCCCATGTGATACAAACACAATATATCATGCTACAAATATCTGATTTTAACATTATTAACAAATAGCTGGTGTCTATGGTTAGAAAGCTAAGACTGTCAACCATTTTTCATTATACATTAACAAGAATGTCATTGGTGTAATTGAGAACTTATGAACATTTGGTGTATTTTTTTTCAAATATGACCTTTAAACCCATTAAAGAGTAACTTTTTTTAAAATTCAAAAAATTTAAGTATTCTCAATTTTACACAAAGTTATGACTCTTACAACAAAAATAAAAATTTTCCTATAACTTCACATGTACATGAGAAGTTAAATGACTAGCAGCTGGCAAGCTGATTTATTTTTCAAAACTGACCTATAAGTTGAATGTATTTCCATGACGTTCCTTAATCAATGTTTAAAAACTACATAAGTCTTGTACAACAAAATAAAGCAAAACATAGCACTAAGTTTATCAAAAAATTTCTTCTGGTTCGTTGTCTGGACACTCCTGGTTCTCAGGATTTTGCCGTAGTGGGGTGTGTAGCACTTCTTCAATTTCGTCACCACGACGACGTAAACGTGGTGGTAATTCTTCCTCCTCCTCTTTACAGTACGTACAATTGATAACTTTATCATACACAAGTCCCAAACTCTCGTGACATTGTCGCATATATTATTGGGGCGTATTGCCATATCAAACATTGAGAGAATTTGAAGATATTCTCGTACGTGAATCCACACTTTTAAATTTGTCTGCTTTATCATTTGCTTAATGCTTGCATCATATCTGTGTTTTTCACCTGGTAGAACCAGAAGTAACGAGACCGTCTCTGACGGTAACGGCACAAAGCAAAAGTCACAATTTAAACTAGAAATCATTTTAGACATGCGGCCTTTCCCGCAGTGAATAACTGTCCTCAAAAAAACGTTTTACTCATGTAACCATGTGAACAAGTATATGATGATAATAAGAACTAATGGTAAGAAATATGAGAAAGAAAGCTGCAGATAAAATAGTTCTGTAAACGCTCTTCAGCTACAGTGTCCCTGCTCTGTAAAGAGACTGGGTCCTTTTTTTCACCAAATGCAACAACACAACGGTTGGTATATGAATCATGAATAGACGATGATATCATCGGAATATTTGCAAGCAATGAAGCCAGCCACAATATGGCGCAAGTTATTAAAGCATGGATAGCTGTAGGCCCGTGATGAGCCCGGTCAGTGAGTAAAATTCCCCTGAGAACACCTAAGACAACTAAGTGAAATGCTGCAATATATTTACAGGAATTATACAGAAGGCCGTAAAACTTGCACCAAGTCTCTGACTTCAATTCTCCCTTGTCAGCCTGAAATATACAGAGCATAATTATAAAAGTCTTAAATAAAGTGTTTTACAAAATCCATTTATAAAACTAATACTTATATCAAGAAACAACATTACCTTTCATTTTACACAAAATATGTTATGCTAAAGACAGTTTGAATAATCTTATAATGTGAAATATTTCTCCTCATGTGCAATATCGGCTCTATTTCCAGATATAGACTTATGTCAACCATCCACATGAAATAAGAAACTTTAAACCTTAAAAATATGATTCTTTAAAAACACATTTAGTAGCAATCAACCCCCACATGGACAAAATGTTCATACAACGTACCATAACAATTATGTGGGAAGAAAATGGTATATGAAGGTACAGACTTTTAAGAAGACTGCAGTACTCAATCAGAAATAACAAATGTAGCATTCTTTAAAACCTTATTCTGTCTCCTCTTCTTTTGTTTAATCAGAATAAATCTATTATCACAAATCAGTGATTTAGATTCTCAAGAGTACAGATATTGTAATGTTTAACACAGCTGTAACATGAATCCACTTTTTAATCTAGATATTTGACATTTCAAGACAAAATCTACACTATAATTTATCATCTAAATCCAACTGATAAGGGAAAATCAGGCTTAGACTTGGTGATAAAACATTGAGTTCAATGTAAATGTTGTAATCAGATCACTAATGAATCAGAATATCATTTATTTTCTCTCTCTCTTATTTTCAGCAGGAAATTTAGAGGCGGTGTCTTGATGTTAAAGTTTCAGATGGCTTTCAGAAAAAAAAACACATTACAATTTTTTTGGTGAGTGATAAAAACAAATGACAAGATTTTCTAGTTTATTTTAGTCTACTTTATGAGATTTTCTTTAAAAAAAGAAAAAGTAGTTATTTCATGTGAAAATTATTCAAAAAAAAATACAAAATAATCATTGAATTTTACTTTTTAGTATATTGAATGTTTTTATATGTACACCTTTTACAACATTTGTAAAAGAGTTTTTTGCTGATTCAAGTATCATGTACTGTATGACTATCAACTTACTTGATGCCAATTAATGAATTTATGGGAATACTAGTTTAAAAAGTTTACAGCAAAACTTTCATAATTTTACTCTTAATATCAACCATCAAATAATATTGCTTAGTGCCAAATGGTTATAACTCTAATGATATAAATATGAAAATACAGCTGTTTTGTAACAGACCCAAGCAATCATTCCCTCTGACAATATCTCATTACATACAATCAAACAAATAATGTCTCATAATTATACTTGATAGCAACTTCTGATTAAGTGACTTAATTAATATATGTCCCTTATGACAAACCTGAAATATGATCTGATCGGGGACATTCATCACCGCGACGACAATGTCTGCTAGAGCCAATCCACCAATCACGATGTAGATTGTAACACGCAACTGTTTGTTGTAAACTATCAATGTCCCCAGTGCTATTCCATTCCCGACAACGCTTACAAAGCCAATGACCCCCAGAATCACTATTTTTAGAAGCATGTGAACATTGGGACCAGCCTTCCCTTGATCAGCTCCTGGTTCCAAGTCCGAAATATCAGATGTACCCTCCATTCTAGTTTTTGTCACAACCTGAAATACAAAAAACATCTCATGACAATAACTTTAATAATACTGCACTTTTGTAACGTCGCTTTTTATTGGATAATTGTGACGTTTATATAAAGTTCTATATACATGGCTGCTGTCAATTTATGAAGAAATCACGTTTTAATCCTCTAAAACTGATGCTTGCTGTATTATTAATTCGTCATAAAGATTCCTGACAATGTATATACGGGTATGGTCTGTATATAAACGGGTTTGCAAAAAAATAGCTCGGTATATATACAAAACAACCCTTTAAATAGGGCCATATAACCTGTCAAGAATCTTTATAACTAATAATATATGTAAATTTTTATCATAAACAGATGCTTCAAAAGAAGATTTAAAAGAATTAAAGATTTCTTATCTCTTGAATTTAAGTTTTTTTTGTCTCCTTATTAAACAACATAATTCTAGATATGCAAAAGCTGGAACTACCAAGTTCCTGGGCAAATTTATCATATGACTATATCAAATACACTAACTGTTCCAAATTAAAACCAACAACCATCAATGATTGTTACTCAAACCTGATGGAGACTTCGGGTGGCCATATGGACAGGTAACGGTTGTCTACCTCTTACCCCAGACATTTCTCAACACCTTGTATAACCCCAATACTGATAAGTCCAGGAAGTTAGCACAAAATAATTTAATTTAACTATAATACATTTTTTGTCAAGAAAGCTAAAATAATAAATCAGACACACAAAATAAATATCAAAATTAATGAGGTGTTCTCAACTTGATACAAACTTCTAAATGAAAATGTTTACCGCTGTACTGTCAAAATAAGAAAATTGTTTAAACATTTTTTACTATGCATTTTGAAAATACTTTATATTAACTTAACTTAACTTAATATGTTGAAAAAGAACATTCAGTATATTTTTCATCATGCAAAAAGTTGACATATTTTTGTATTGTTCTCAAGTTTTGCTTTTACATGTTTTTCTTGCTTAGTTTTTATCTGTACTCTAACAATTTCGAGACAAAATAACTCATAAATACCAAAATTTCTGAATATCTTTACGTCTGAATAAATCATAAAGTACTTTCTACACCTAAATATAATGCACAGTTAATAATTGTGGTAAATATAATAGCTGACAGAGAATGATTAGGAAAACATAAAAAACAATTGTACTGTAAAATCTGAATTTCGACAGGTCTGAATTACCAACAATACATCAATATACGGCTTCTAACACAGGTACTTCATAAGTTGGGTTTCGCCATTATGCTACATAACAATTTTAAAATGCTGGTTAGTAGGAAAACACTGTACCCTGTCTTGCAAGCCTATACAATTCAATGTGTACCCTGTCTTTATGATTACAAGCAGGTGTTTCTTCGGATCACTGTACCTTACTTGGGAGCTTATATATTTTAACTTGTACCTTTCTAGTGATTACTGAACATAGACTTATTCATATATACTGTGACACTGTGAACAAAAATATCTGTAGACGAAAATAGGCCACACATTTTATCAAATTAACCACATTCAGCACAACAGTGTCTTTATTGGGTTTAGGATTGAATATAAATTGTAAAATTGGTTGAAAAAAAATGTACTGTTTTTGCTATCTTTCAATTATGTGACTGTATCTAATGTAATTGAATGAATCATAACTTTGTGGGTTTCTAATGATGATAATTATAATAATATCAACTTGAGGAAATTAAAACGGCAACAGGTGATCAGTGGTTGGGATTTATGAAGTGGCTTAGTGCTGTCTATCACAAAAGAGTTGAATTAATATATCATTATGATAATAAATATAAAATTCTTTTCAACAAATCTTCAGAGATTTTTTTTACTTTTTTCACTAAGGTTTTATTGACATAACATAACCGGAAAATATTTTTCCAAAATTTATGTACCATTCGATGTAGGCTTATTGTGTGCAGATTTTCAGATCATTCCCTCATCCTGTTTTCCAGAACAATTATCTTTATTGTGCAAAAGCATCCAAAAAACAAATTGGACTAAGAATTGCACAAAATGATGGATAATCAATTCAATTCTAAGTATATTTCTTTATCATATATAAAACCATCTATTCTAGTTATAAATTAATTGTTTCCTGCTTTAATATAACAACTACATATTTTATAATATTAAACAACTTTGTATATAAATGTTAAAAGTTTAACAGAATTGTATAAAATTCACTTTCATTGTATACAAACTTTCAATAAAATTTGTACATGAAATGTTATAAAAGTTGTCACAGGCTTTCTAAATGGTTAAACAAGAGGGCCATGATGGCCCTGAGGTCGCTCACCTGTATATAGCCCCCCCCCCCCCCCCCCGGCCCAATTTTTACCCAAGGGCTTTTATTTGTTTATTTGAACAGACTTGGTAGACACCCATAAGAAGATGTTTCATGCAAAACATCTAAGTTCTAGCTCATTGGGTTTTTTAAAAGAAGATTTTTTAAGTTTTTACTATACACAGAGTAAAAAACAATGACACCCCTCGGGCAGGGCCAGTTTTGACCCCTGGGCTTTTATTTGAACAAACTTTGTAGATATTTACTTAAAGATGTTTCATGCTTAATATCTAAACTCTAGTTATTTGGGTTTTTTTAAAGAAGATTTTTAAGTTTTTGCTATGTATATAAGGAAAATCAATGACCCCCAGGCGGGGCCAGTTTTGACCCCAGGGCTTTTATTTGAACATACTTGGTAGACACCCATTAGAAACATGTCTCATGCTAAATATCTTAGCTCTAGCTCTTTGGGTTCTTTAAAAGAAGATTTTATAAGTTTTTACTATATGCATATAAGGAAAATCAATGACCCCTGGGGAGGGGCCAATTTGGACCCCAGGGTTTTATTTGAACAAACTTGGTAGACATTCACTAGAAGATGTTTCATGCCAAATATATAAGCTTTAGCTCTTACAGTTCTTTAAAAGAAGATTTTTTTAAGTTTTTACTATATGCATATAGGGAAAATCAATGACCCCCTGGGGCGGGGCCAATTTTGACCCCAGGGCTTTTATTTGAACAAACTTGGTAGACATTTACTAGAAGATGTTTTATGCCAAATATCTAAGCTCTAGCTCTTACGGTTCTTTAAAAGAAGATTTTTTAAGTTTAAACTATATGCATATAGGGAAAATCAATTACCCCCCAGGGCGGGGCCAATTTTGACCCCAGGGCTTTTATTTGAACAAACTTGGTAGACATTCACTAGAAGATGTTTCATGCCAAATATCTAAGCTCTAGCTCTTTGGGTTGTTTAAAAGAAGATTTTTTAAGTTTTTACTTTATGCATATAGGGAAAATCAATGACCCCCTGGGGCGGGGCCAATTTTGACCCAGGGCTTTTATTTGAACAAACTTGGTAGACATTCACTAGAAGATGTTTCATGCCAAATATCTAAGCTCTAGCTCTTACAGTTCTTTAAAGGAAGATTTTTTTAAGTGTTTACTATATGCATATAGGAAAATCAATGACCCCCTGGGGCGGGGCCAATTTTGACCCCAGGGCTTTTATTTGAACAAACTTGGTAGACACTCACTAGAAGATGTTCCATGCCAAAAATCTTAGCTCTAGCTCTTACAGTTCTTTAAAAGAAGATCTTTTAAGTTTTTACTATATGCATATAGGGAAAATCAATGACCCCCCGGGGCGGGGCCAATTTTGACCCCAGGGCTTTTATTTGAACAAACTTGGTAGACACTCATTAGAAGATGTTTCATGCCAAATATCTAAGCTCTAGCTCTTAGGGTTGTTTAAAAGAAGATATTTAAAGATTTTTCTTTCGGTTGCCATGGCAACCAGAGTTCTGCATGGAATTAAATTCTTTGAACAATTTTTAAAGGTGACCACCAAAGGAACATTCCTGTGAAGTTTGGATGAAATTGGCTCAGTGGTTTATGAGGAGATGTCATTTAAAGCAAAAGTTTACGGAAGGACGACGGACGGACGACGGACGGACGGACGGACGCCGGACGAAAAGCGATCACAAAAGCTCACCCTGTCACTTTGTGACAGGTGAGCTAATAAAAGCTATATCATGAATCAACAACTTATATAAGACTGTGCTTTTTTTTTAATATTCATTTATCATAATATTATATAAGTTCAATTTAAATCCATCAAATCCATTTATTTTTAACTTAATAATTATTTTTCTGTTTTTTATTTGTTGTTTTTTTTTTTGCAAAAAATATTATAGTATACAATCATATTACCTTGTTTTATTTTCCAAATATCAAATAATTTATCACTAGGTATAGAACTAAATTCACTTTATCTCAGCTTGACAAAGATTAAACTTCATCTAAGATGACAATTTATAAGGCACCAATGTTAAGACATGATTTTCATCCAGGACAAATTGCCCGCTAAGAAAATCTAAAATTTCCTGGAATCACATGACGTCTACTACTATATTACCTTCGCATGCAGCAGACTTGTAATAATCTGTTGGGTTTTTTATCCACAGAATTCCTGACTATCTTTATCTTGTCTAACAATCATACTGCGGTGTGTCGGAGTGTCGTCTTTACATCAATACATGGGTGAGGTAATCTTAGGTTTTCTTCTGAAATTATACAATAAATAGACATCATGATTATAATTATCGTATTCACTATATAATTAAAATAATAAAAATAGCCGCACATTGGTATCATTTTTGAAGGAGTGGATGTAATTATAAACATCTAACACAACATAATCACAGGTCTGGTTGACAAAAATCATTGTTTACCTGTTGAGATTTTCCTCTTAAAAAAACAGCACGCCTCCAGGTAAAGCAAATCTTCATAAAAACAAAGGAATATCATGAAATGTTCAATTTATTAATAAAATGATTGCAGCTAATTAATTAGGTATTATTATCATTAAATTACATATATTATGTACAAAAATTGAAAAAATATCAAATATAAAAAATTGTTTGTTTGCAGTAACGCGACCGACTCACGAAATTTGCCCCTACCCAAACTATTTTTTAGGGTCTGGCAAAGCAAAAAATTTTTTCGCGAAAATCCCAGAGTGTTTTTGTTTTTGCTGTAGTTTATTTTTTTGCATTAATTTATTAATTCAACATGGCAGCGCCCCTAACAAAGACATTACAAATGCTATATTGGGTATTAGGGATCTTGTTTTGCTGTTTAGTCTATGGTAGTATATGTAGAGTTCATGCAAATGGTAGTATATGTAGAGTTCATGCAAAAAAAAAATTTTTTAAAAAAAATCGACCTACCTACCCACACTGAAAATTCTGAGTAGTGTTACTGCAAACAAACAATTTTTTAAGGATGGCCTAAGTATAGAATTTTATTTCTTTTTTCAACATGCAAAATTAGTAAGTTCATTCATAATATTTATAAAAAAAAACAACTTGTTAAATATCAAATGAATAAGTATCGTAAGACTTTTATGTTACTTAAAATCTTCATTTAAATGTGTTTTCATTAACTTTTAATCTCTACATGTACGCTTTCCTATTTCCAGACTTAATATGTTGATGATTTAAATTCGTAAAAAGTTAATATCAACATTTATATTTGGTGTGTTTTTAATATCAATTCCTTTATAGTAAAGGCGGTAAAAATTATTATAATTTATACAACTTCAATCAACTCCATAACCTAGTAACTCAGATCGAGGCCAGTCAACAAATGTGTGATCAGTGATTTAATCACACCTTGAGTTTCAGCTTCTATAATTATGTCAATGTTCTTAATGGCAGTTCTTGGTAAATGTGACACAATATAATAAATCTTGAATCCATTTAACATGACTGTCTAAAATGACATCTAATGTTGGCACAGTAATAACTTCCTTCATATAAAAAAACAAAAATACATTTAGTTTTTATGTTAAGGCAATTTGAGATACGGTAATGACACTTCAATCAATTCTTGACAGTTTACAGATTTCTTCATAAATAGAATTTCTCTAATTATTCCCATTTATTCCTCTTCAAACATTTTTATACAAATTTTGCTCCCATTACAAATAAAAACAGTTTCAAAGACATTTTCTGCCAAAACAATTTAATGAACTAAGAGAACAAGAGAGCCATGATGGTCCTTAATCAGTCATCTGAGGATATGTTTTACAAGGAAAAGACTTTCATCAAACTCAGCCAAGCATTTAAGAAGTCACTTAAAAGTCTTCCTTTTTCTATTTAGCATGCAATCAGCCATCTTGTTCAACAGACTGTAATTATTTGAACAATTTTTGTAAAGTACCAACTAAAGATAATTCCTAATGAATTTAATCAAATTTGCCCTGAAGCCTATTTCTATCATTATATTATATACATAGATCTGTCATCTTGATAAGCAGACATGAGTTTAATTTTTTTTGTAAAAGATCACTATACAATCATTTTTGCCATTAATATGAAGTTTCGTCAAAATCTGCAGCATGACTGAAGAGATTTTGGTTAATACTTATAACTACTTTTAGCTCTGGTGTTTATAGCAATTTTTGAAAAATTTCACCTAAATTTCAACAAATAATCATTCCTATAAAGTTTCATAAAAATCTACACAGTGGTTGAGGGGAAGATGTCATTTGAAAACTCTGGCTGCCAATTATATTCTTCCACTAACAGGAACAATTTCTGATATTCTTTATATATAAACCCTAAATGATAATTTCTTATAACTTTCATTAAATCTATTTTAGCTCTAGTGGCCTTCTTTGTTCAATAGACCGAACCATTTTAGAAATATCTGACATGAAGGACAACCAAATGGTTTCATTAGTATGTGTAGTGGACAAGGAGATGTCATTTAAAGCATTTTTTGTATTTTTCTTTCTGTTGCTTAAAGATTTTTCTACTTTTAGCTATAGCAGCCATCTTATTCAGCAGACTGGAACCATTTGAGGAGACACAATAGAAACCATCAAAGGTAATTATTTATCCCCATTGGTCAAGGGCTTAGGTGAGCAAAAAACAACAATGCCAAGACGATTATTTACTTATGATAACAGCAAAATCTCTTCACAGATAATCTTAATCCTTTAAAAAGAAATTCTAACTGTTATGCATGAGGCAGTGGAGTGATCATGAAATCACGATCTTCAATGTGGTCACCAAATAACATTTGTTACTAAACCAAACATGATACAAAAAGTGGCCACTGGCCATAAAACCTTAAGAATTAAAACTGCGGTTGAAATTTAAGTAAACAAAAATACAATGTTAACATATTTATTTTTACAGACTGACAATCGATACAGTATATGAACAAGAGCACATCATAATGTAAACATATCCAAGGTCATTATTTCACACCTGATTACAGTTATCATTCATCATGGGGATAATGCTTGTAGAGAAAAAAATATCCACAGATGCACTATACTTTCTAATGATCCAAGCCTTGTATGTTTAAGAAATTTGGCACATACTTTAAATCTACTTTGATTTTTTAAAATATCCGACTGTTTTCCTTCTTAAGGAACATCTGTTGAGACTCACACATACACAGTAACAGTGTTGACTATAGGACAGGGACAAATTTAGGCCACTCCATTTTTGGCATTTCTCAATATACAATCAGACAAAACTGTGCATTTAAATATTGGTAACATGACTACCTAGACTACATTACAAGTTGTTCAATTTTAGTACATAAACAATATCAAAGCAGGAAATTAAAGTCTGAATAAATACAATGCACAGAAACTTTAGAATCAATAAAATAATGCATAATCATATTTCAATGTTTATAATATTATATATAAACCTTGAAATATGGATTCTTTCAAAACAGCATATAGTCAAAACATTATTGCATTTTATTGATTATATATAAATGATAAGTATAATTGTATATGTGCTGAAATTGAGAAATATACTAATTACTTGGATTTAAAGACATTTTGAGCTCTAAAGCCAACATTCTGGAAAGACAAGATGAAGGAATTTTCAGAAAATTTGCACACAAGTTACTGGTCCAGACCTTCATGAAATGGTACAAAAATCACAGAATTTTTTTTTCCAGTCTTATCATATATAAAAAAACCCATTGGAGTCCCTTTAATGCATATTTTTCTTATTTCTTTAAACTATGTATCTGAAGATTAAAAGTACAATGGTAGATTTTCTGTTACCTTCTCTTTATATTGATATATAAAACATATGGCAAAGCCTTTCATATGACATAATAAAATCTTAGTTTGTCTCTTGCATAACCTTATAAAACATCAACTTGACTAAATTAAATGTTAACTGTATAAGAGAGGATAGTCTCTCCTGTGAGATTACAATGACATAAATACCTCTATAATAAGTTTTATTTTCACAATTTAAGGTTTCGATTTCCTCTCCTATCTTAGTAAATGACAAGTTTATGACTGAAATAAAATAACATGCCAACAGTTCTGAGCATGCAGACACACTGTTGTAAAAAGTTCCCGGTAACAGGCCATATAAAAAGTAAATTACAGGGTTTAGTTATATGACCATATTTGAGGGGCAATAATTCTAAGTTAATTGCCTGTCTTTATATAAAAAAAACAAAAACATTTTCAAATAATCAGAAAAAAAATGGTCTGAAGCAAATTAGTATTGTTTTGTTAGGAAAAATTGATTCCGTAGAACTATATTTCGACAAAATCAAATCAATTTTATAGACAGACAGACAGATACCTTTATTGATCATCAGGTTACATGTGTCACATATAACAACATGATGTGAAAATACAAACATACATATTTTACAAAACTGGTGGAAAACAGGGTATTTGATAAACATGTGGATTGAGTCAACATTATTACAAGTTAAATAATCTCATAATTATATAGTTATTACAATAGTTTTCCTAACATAAGGGGATAGACTATCAGAAAAATGCTAGTACGCTCAAAGAATCAGAGTATCAACACACATACAAATATACAGATCTTACAGTAATTCAGAGATGCGCATAAACTTGCGTTTTTTATTATGTAAATTGATGACCTGATTTTCACTTCAGCATAGTAACAGCTGTATTAGCTATACCAATATAAACAGCATAGACGCCATTATCATTATACTGGTAGTTATTATACACTGTAACAAATTGAACATTATAAACCTTCATGACAAAATATCTCCTCCTGTTTAATAAAAATAATTCCATCAACATAATCTGAGTCAATGATAAAGAATTTAGGAATCTACATAATCCTAATGTTCCCACATGCCAACATAAACTGACACAGAATACTAAAAATTTAAAATAGCCTTTAATCAGTATACTCTAATAAGCTTTATAGACATAAACATAGTTTTCAGAAACCAAGAACTAACAGTAACTTTAATCCCAATGATAGTCGTCCTTAGTCTTGAATCATTCCTGTATAATGTTTCATCACAATTGGCCAAGTGGAATAAGAGGGAATGTTGTTTTATAATCAAAACAAATGTTGACAGACCAAAGACTTTCAGAAACTTTAGGCCACTTGGTCGTTCAAATCACCAAGTTGAGAGAACCTAGATTTATTAAATTGTTATGTGCTCAGCAGAGCAACCAACATTTCATCTGTTGGATAAATGTAAAACATGATGTTTTCTACCTCCCAACAATTTC